GAATTGTGGTTTTTGTTCCACAGGCTGCAGGATTGTAGTTCTTCTTGCTTCTGCTGTCTGTCCTCTGATGGATGTGGCTATCTAAGAGGCTTCTGTAAGTTTTGTGATGGGAGGGACTGATGTTGGTTAGAGCTGACTATTGCTCTGGTGGGCAGAGCTCAGTAAAACTTTAATCTGCTTAACTGCTGATGGGTGAGGCTGGGTTCCCCCCCTGTTCTTGTTTGGCCTGAGGCAACCCAACACTGGAGCCTACCTGGCTCTTTTGTAGGGCTAATGGTAGACTCTGTGAGGGCTCTCACCAAGGACTACTTCCCAGAGCTTTTGCTGCCAGTGTCCTTATCCCCAAGGTGAGCTACAGCCACCCCCTGCCTCTGCAGGAGACCCTCCAGCACTAGCAGGTAGGTCTGGTTCAGTCTCCCTTGCAGTCACTGCTCCTTCCCCTGGGTACCCATGCACACAGTACTTTGTGTGTGCCCTCCAAGAATGGCGTCTCTGTTTCCCCAGTCCTGTCGAAGTCCTGCAGTCAGATCCCACTAGAGTTCAAAGTCTGATTCTCTAGGAATTCTCTAGGAATTCTCTAGGAATTCCTCCTCCTGTTGCCGGACCCCTTGGGGCTCAGAACCTTCAGTCCAGTGGGTTGACTTCTGCGGTATAAGTGTTCTCCAGTCCGTGAGTCACCCACCCAGCAGTTATGGGATTTGATTTTACTGTGATTGCGCCCCTCCTACCATCTCATTGTGGCTTCTCCTTTGTCTTTGGATGTGGGGTATCTTTTTTGGTGAGTTCCAGTTTCTTCCTGTCGATGATTGTCCAGCAGCTAGTTGTCCAAAATCCTGATCTTTAGAAGTTAAGATCTGGTGGAATGCCAGAAACCTAAGTGATTACACAAGTATCTCTATTATCACCTCTATAAGGTGATAGTATCTCTATTATGAGAAAGAATAATTATGTGGTAAGAAAGGTAAAAATGCAGTCCTCTGAGAATTCTGAGGAGGGATAAATGATATCAATCTACTGAAGTTCTGGAAGATTGCATGGAGGAGGTGACTTTTAAATGGCCTTACAGACTGATAAAATTTTTAGTAGGTAAGAAATGGGAAGGAAAATTATTCCAGGAAAAAGAACTGAGTGCGTAAATTAATAAAGTGTAGAGTTAATTTAGAGAGCCTTGAACTACATATGAAGAAGATTAGTGAAGTATAGAATGTTCTTGACTTTTTAACTATGGGTTTAAAAAATATTTATTCATTAATTCAGTAGGCAATGGGGTAGCCTGTGAAGAAAAATGATATTATTTGAGCTATACTTTAAGAAAATTAATCTTCTGGTAATCGAGAGAATTTATTGGATTTTCCAATTCAGAGACTATTGTTTCACTCTAGACAGGATATAGTGACATTTTTTAGCAGAGTGATAACATTAAGAGTAGAAACAAGGGATGTTAGAGCAAATACAGAAAAATAGAAGCAAAGTCTTACCTTGATGGGAAAAGAGATTCAGAAAGGAGAGAAAATAAATAAATAAATAATTACTTTCAGGATGAAAGCTAAATTGGGATGATGATATAGAGATATTTTAAGAAATACGCTAATAAGATATGAAGCAGGAAGAGGGCAGCTGGGTGCCTAGGATGAAACTCAGAGGGTGACTGAACAGTGAAGTTGGTGTTGTTAAGTGATACTAATTGGTCCTTATCTTTACACTGGTCAGTACAAATATCAGTGTATCTCAGGAAATTGAATTTTTCACTGCAAATTAATACATTGACATTTTGGTGTATCAGAGATACTTTTATATATTTGATTAACATCAATGAGTTTTTATGCTGTTGAGGGTCTGGTCTGCTCATTTTCTGAGTGAGCTGAAACACTGAGTTTTTAAATTTTTTCAGATGAGGACCAAATTCATATGTGAATAGTAAGGACAGAGCGATGTATAAGTTGTGTTTATATCTTATTAACAACTTTGCATTTAAAATCCTAAGTAAATTGTTTTGTTTAAGAAAAGCTTCAGCAAAATTCATCTGAGATGCCCGAGGGTTTCTAGGAAGTAAAGATGTGGGAAGAAAAACTGTAAACTTCAGTTGTCTAATCTGTGCAATGGTTGGGGGGTAATAAAAATACCTACCTTGTTGTGTAGGTATGAATAATAAATTAGAAAATGCATGAAAGCACTAGGAACAGTGTCTGGCACATGATTAGAGAAATTAGTGTTTGCTATGAAGATGATTGAGATGAAGAGGAAAGAAACTGACAATAGAAGGAAAGATAGAAACAATAATAAAAAGAAGATTTAGTTTTCGAAAGGCAGATAGAAAATACAAATAAGCCATTTGATGGAAAATTCAACATTTCTCCTACTTTCTGTTCTGGAAAATGATTTTTATTACAGAATTTTATTTCACTATTGTGTATATTAGGTTTTGCTTATTTGCTTTTTTTCCATCAAAATATTACTATCCATTGGAAAGTGAACAAATTCATGCCACAGAAATAACAAGGTACATTCAAAACAAAGTTTTAATAATATAAATAAGGACAAAATAGATCTTTATTGTAATGTTCACAATTAATATGATAGAAAACAATAGAAATTTGGACTGACCACATTTTACTCATGTTATTTACTCCTGTTATTTACTCCTGTTAGATTAGGAATGGTACATTTGAAAAAGAACTGAATTGCATTTAAGTATTTTTATTATATTGGCCAATTATACATTTAAAACATTTTATAACAAAGCTATTTTATAACAGCTTTTGAAGAAGAAACAGGCCAAGAAATAAGCCATCAAGCTTCAAAAGGTGATAGCAATCCATAAGTGAAATGTTTTGATTTTTCCCTTAATCTAAATGGACTGCTCAATAACTTGGTATGAAAAGTCAGTTCTAAGTTTGATATAAGTACCAACTTTTTCAATTTTATGGTTATCTATAAACCTGGATTTAGTATGTGACTCCTTTCCCATAAGCAATAATTTTGGACTTACTGTAATTAAATTTAAGTTCTTATCTACTAGAAAGGATGGTAAAATATCTTTCAAATATGCATGGGGTCAGGTCTTCAGAAGGTTGTGGGCAAGGGTGGTGAATGTATCTGTGATAATAGCTCACATTTTCTCTCACCTCAGGAACAACGCTTACAGGATAATAACTATTCACATTTAGTTCACCGAAGGGAACTGTTAACCGTTAGTATATCTGAGTAACTAGCAAAAGCCATTTTAAATCAAAGTAAATTGATGGATGCTTGCGGCATATTGACATTTGTGCCCATGACTGTAAAGTTCCTGAGGGTTAATTGTTCTGTGCTCTCAACCTATAGTACAATGTTTTCAATTACTAAGGGGTTAATAAGTGCTAATTGAATTCAGCTGATAAAAGAAGTGAAAACAGCACAACCAAATTATAAGATATAGAATTTTGGAATAGATAACATAGATAATTTCAGCTTAAATCCTTTTATATTATTTAATATTTTGTATTAAATTCTTTTATATTACAAAAAATAATGTAATCTCTAGGTCCTCAAATAGCAATAAACAAAGAACCTTCTAGATTTTTATTGGTGGGCAATGTAAGGAGGAAAAGTCTAAAGGCAGACTGATTAAAAATGAAGTAGAAAGCAAAGATATATTCAAAAAGATGAAATAAAGATAATAAAATAACAAAACAATGGATTCCAATGCAGTCAAGGAATAAATCCGTGAGTTCATGTGGCACAAAATAAATATCAAAACATAGGTAGATTCTCAAGAAGAGAAAAAGTATGACATTTTTCTGTTAAAGACAATAGAAATAAGGGAAGACAGAATATCTGATGCTGATATATTTGAGTCACTTCACTGAAATACTCTGAACATTCTTTGTAGCCTATGATTGTGAGGAAAGAATCCTGCTGGAGAAGAAGGAGAAATAAGATTGAGACTCTGGAGGTCTTGCTCAGTCTCAAATTATGATTGCATGAAATATAATTTTTAAAAAAGCCTGATACAATGAACCTGGTAGTAACTGACACAATGAACCTGGGAGACAAAAAGGACAAAAATTATGGACAAGTAGCAAAGAGGCAGACATTTTCTTCTACAGAGGGTCTTAAACGTCTCCATGAGGTGAAAATGGAATGTGTCTCTATTCAGCTCCTTCTTCCACATTGGAGATTTTCATAGCTTCTGACTGCCCCATTAATTCAACCCTATATGTTTGATTTTCAACTTTAATTCCCTTGGCATAAACTGTGAAAATATGATCCTTGATCTGTCTTCCTTGGTCAACTTTATTGATTTATATGTAAACTTAGTAGGAATTCAAGAGAGCTTGGAATCATCAAAGGCAGATTGAGATGCATGTTTTATGCAAATTCTTATAGTTGGGTATAGGGAGGGAAAAAAGTACAGACAGAAATAATGAGGTCAGGATGATATACATAGTTTTACATGCCAGAGATTCAAAGGCACGAGAATTTAAATTAGAGAGCTGTTCTCTCCTATTCCTTATACATCAGTTTCCCTCTGCTATCTTTTCTATTTTCTGAGACTAGAAATCTTTAGATTTGACCCCTTGTTTATAAAATTGAAGTAACCACCTGATTAATCAAAGATTTTTATTTCATTTTCTGGAAATCGTTAGTTTTTAAGATCCATGGGGTCCAAGACCATCCTCTCTTCAGCTGTCAAACACAGTAATAATATATGTAAGATAATTAAGGTATATCTTGTCTACTAGATTGCAAATGGAAGAGGTTGTAGATTGATAATTCCTCCTGATTGCAACTTGTATATTAAAGACTAAGAAATTCAGTAGAATGATATTAATAAGGTGTATATTATGTAATAAACAACTAATAAAACTTTTTTGTTTTTACTTTTGGGTAATGTTTGAAAAATATGTTTATATCTTCAGTAAGGAGTTTATTTTTATCTGAAAGGGTTAAGGAATTAGGGATCTATATCCTCTAAAAGAATCACCTTTAAGATTGGATTTTATCTATTTGTTTTTTAGATTAGATAATATTGACTTCATTAAAGAATAAAATGAGAAAAAATGTTCATAAGGAAAATATATGATATCTACAGCTTCAAAATCACCTAAAAATGGAAGTGTGTTTTTATTATTAAAAATTATATGGATTAAGATAAGTATTCTTGACTTTTCAATTTTAGATTAAATGTGCTACTATCTATTTGCAAAACAAAAACAAATGCATTAAGATTATAGCTGGACTATTTAATACCCTGAAAAAATCATAAAAGGATAAAACTCTAGCAGTGGGACCAGTCATCAGCATTCAGATTTGTTTTGTTTTAAGGTTCTCCAGTGACTGCAGTGTGCAGTGGAAATTGAGAATCACTGCATAAAATTACTTAACCAAAGGCTCACTGTGTGAAAACCTGGGCTAGAACGCTAGCCCAGAACAATAATTACCCTGGTCCCTACACCATAGTTGCCTATCTTGTTTTTACATCACAATATGATGGATTTGATAGACATAATTTATCATGTAATCAAGAGTGGAAAATCAATGGTAAATTGAGGTCCTGATATGAATAGACCAGTTTGTTTTCTATATTTACACTGTGCTTCTCAATGACTGTATATGCTGGGTCCACGTAATACAGGAAATAACTTCTTGGGGTCAGCAATATCACCCAAAATAATGAAATAGTAGCTGTGTCAGGAAACAACCTCACCTGACTTCTCTATTAGTTGGGGGAGAATATAAAGCGACCTGGCCTCTCTAACATGATCTTAGACCAATTATTATACTGCATAGCTCTCAAAAGGCCAAGATATCTTAAACCAATGCCCATTGATAAAAGCTTTTCCCATAAACTCTCCCTATTAAATAATTAAAATGTAGCTTTAAAATTGATGAGACTGCAAAGATAAGTTGTTCCTTATGCTTAGTATATTTATCAATAAAATAATGTGAAATGAAACAATGAGTAAGAATACCTTTAAGAAAAGAATTGTGCTGTCCACAGTCAGTTGTCACTGTGTTCCTTTAAAGAACAGAGTTATTAAGGAAAATTTAGAAAACAAATAAAGCAAAACTAAACCTTAACACTTGGCTTATAGTCAAAGCATAAAAGGTGGTTTCATGTCATGTCTATTTTGGCTTTTACTCGGTAGAATGATCCTGAAAATGAACTTATATAAAACGAAAGGTCGGGCTTCCCTGGTGACACAGTGGTTGAGAGTCCACCTGCTGATGCAGGGGACACGGGTTCTTGCCCCCGTCCGGGAAGATCCCACATGCCGCGGAGCAGCTGGGCCCGTGAGCCATGGCTGCTGAGCCTGTGCATCCGGAGCCTGTGCTCCACAACGGGAGAGGCCACAACAATGAGAGGCCCGCGTACCGCAAAAAACAAACAAACAAAAAAACAAAGGGTCATTAAGCTAATACCAAAGACTGTAGATAAAAGGTATAACATTTTTTTGAAAAGTGAGATTTATATATTGATGTATTTAAAACATGTAGTTTATTCAGCATCAGGTTAGACATGGAAGAAATTGTGGAACCAACTGAGAAGCCATAACATTACTGTTGATCCTGAAAACTAATACAAATCCACTTTTTTACACTGGTTTTGGAAAACTAATAAATATAAAAATAAATAAAACCACTTATTTTACCTATACTATCTTTGAGACATTCTTCAATCCAATGTGTAGTTAGGACTGAATTACTTATACTTTATTCATATTAATTGTATAAAGATTCCTTGGAAAATTCTGATGGCTACCAATATTTATTTAACAATGACAAGGAAACCTTTAACAATATTTCTGAAGCTTTATGCCATTCAGAGGTTGCCTTTGATTTCCAGAAGGGCATATTATAAATGGGGTCACTTTCAAGAAGCCCTTGAGTAGAGGGTTTCATTGGGACTGAATTTCAGACAGTTTTATTTATCTTAAAAACTAATAGGAAGTACCTCTGAATTTAATATAGGGCAAACAGTATCCTGTATCTTCCAAAAATATTTAAAATTAATTACATAAAAGTAAGAGGTTAGGGGACAGTATAGTTCAGATATAGGTAAAATTCCTCTAGTTGGAGAATTCAGATTTCAAAATATATCTTAATACCTATACTATTAGCATTTCTATAGCATAATTTAAGGCCCATAGAAATACTAAATTCTCATCAAAAAATTTGATACTACTTCTCAAAACCCAAAAACACATTCTAGTTAGTGAATAAAACCTGAAAATTAACCTTATCAATTAATCATATTCTCCTGTGCACCATTAAAAGCACTGGAATCTCACCAAACATTAGACTCAGTTACTGACATGTATGGAAGACAAAATAAGCTTTTGAATCAGACAGATGTAGAGTCAATTCTTGGTGTCACCTCTTACAGATGGCAGACATGAGTAATCTCTTTATAAGTCGTAGTTAAATTTTTATTAACTAAAAATATTTTATTCACTCAAAGTCTGCTTGTTGAATGCAAGACTTGTTGGGTATCTAGTTGTGAATAGAACAAGATATAGTCTCAGCCTGTATGGAGTTTATAATCTAGTGAATATTTCTTATAATTTTTGTCTCCTGTGTTTTATTGATGTAAATATTCTGAAATGCCCTTGGTTTCTAAGATCATACACTTTTTCCAAATTTTATACTATCATCAGTTATTAGTCTCAGCAACAACCAACCAGATTTGAGATAACATACTAAATGCAGAAACCAGTTTGTCTTATAGAATTTTAGATTTTTTTTTTAACTTTTGCTTCCTGAGGCATTATAGAAATAAATAGGCACCACTTTAAGCTCAACTTAAAAGGTTTATGGACAGATCCCTTATTATTCCTTAGTCCTAACTCCTGGCCTAGTTTCCAAGATCTTTAATAATTATTTAACAATAAAAATATTTAGAATGTTTTCTTTCCCCTTAACCAGTTTTCATTTAGATACTCCTTTACCTGTCATTTTTTTGGGAGGTCACCTACGCTCAAATCAGCAGAATGATAATAATAATATTATTAACTTATTAATATAGTAATATTAAGGTATATATTAATAGTTGTTGAATTCTACCTACCTGTGAGACACCATTTTAAGGAATTTATATGTATCATCTCAGTCTTGATAACCACCAGATAAAATAAGTATCATTTTTGTTAGAATTGAAGCTTTGAGGCTAATGAAAGTAGAGAAAATTACTAAAAAATATACCAGTTAGTATGATTCAGATTTGAACCCAGGGAGTTGCTAGCCTTTTATTACTCTGCATTCTTGCTTCCTGACTGGACTATATTTGGCTCTTGGTTCTTCTTTCTCCATTTACATCCACTTTATCATCAAGGCCAGTCAGCTTTTTAATTTTTTATTATTATTTTTTAAATATTTCATTTCTTTTGCACCATCACAGTCACCATCTTCACACAGGTTTCCATCAGCCCACCACTTATTTGATTTTACTTCTCTCTGTAACTTACTGATCCTTCAAAGTGCTGCTCAATTAGTCATCTTAAACCCACTCTGTATCAGTCTCTCCTATCTGCTTTATCAGAGTCTCAACTCTTTAACTGGCTTTCAGTGACCCCTCTGGCTTTACCCTCGCCTAAATACTTTAGTTTATCTCCATGATGGGAACCTGTTACTTTACTTAAGTTGTCATGTTACTTTATCCTGAATATGTAGTCCTGCCTTTGAGCCTTTTCATACACATATCTCCCTTTGGGAAATGCCTTCTTTTATCCTAATTGCTTATTCAAACCAAACAAATTATATATAGTTTGCTATACAAAAACCTCATGGTAACCACAAGCCAAAAATCTATAATAGATATACACACAAAAAAGAAAAAAGGAATCCAAACATAGCACTAAAGATAGTCATCAAATCACAAGAGAAGAAAACAAAAGAAGAAAGGGGGGAAAAAACATACAAAAACAATTCCAAAACAATTAACACAATGGCAGTAGGAACATACATATCAATGATTACCTTAAATGTAAATGAACTAAATGCTCCAACCAAAAGACATAGACTGGCTGAATGGATACAAAAACAAGACCCATATATATTCTGCCTATAAGAGACTCACTTCAGATCTAGAGACACATACAGATTGAAAGTAAGCAGATGGAAGAAGGTATTCCACACAAATGGAAATCAAAAGAAAGCCAGAGTAGCAATACTTATATCATACAAAATAGACTTAAAAAAAAAAAAAAAGACTGTTATATGAGACAAGGAAGAACACTATATAATGATCAAAGGATCAATCCAAGAAGATATAACAATTGTAAATATATATGCACCCAACATAGAAGCACCTCAATATATAAGGCAAGTGTTAACAGACATAAAAGGAGAAATTGACAGCAACCCAATAATAGTGGGGGACTTTAACACCCCACTTACATCAATGGACAGATCATTCAGACAAATAATCAATAAGGAAACACAGGCCTAAAATGACACTACACATTAGATCAGATGGACTTAACTGATATTTATAGAGCATTCCATCTGAAAGCAGCAGAATGTACAGTCTTTTCAAGTTCAGGTGGAACATTCTCCAGGATAGATCACATGCTGAGCCACAAAGCAAGCCTCGGTAAATTTAAGAAAACTGAAATCATATCAAACATCTTTTCTGACCACAACGCTATGAGGCTAGAAATGAACTACAAAGCTAAGTAATCAAAACAGTATGGTACTGGTGCAAAAAACAGGCATATAGATCAATGGAACAAGATAGAAAGACCAGAAGTAAACCCAGGCACTTATGGCCAATTAATCTACAATAAAAAAGGCAAGAATATACAATGGGGAAAAGTCTCTTTGATAAGTGGTACTGGGAAAACTGAACAACTATATGTAAAAGAATGAAATTAGAACATTCTCTGACACCATATACAAAAATAAACTCAAAATGATTAAAGACCTAAATGTAAGACTGGGTACTTACTATAAAACACCTAGAGAAATGCATAGGCAGAATACTCGTTGACATGAATCATAACAATATTTTTTTGGATCTGTCTCCAAGAGTAATGAAAATAAAAAAAAAAAATAAACAAATGGGACCTAATTAAACTGAAAAGCTTTTTCACAGCAAAGGAAGCCATAAGCAAAAAGGAAAGACAACCTAGACTGGGAGAAAATAT